TCCCCCAGTGATCAAGCTGGCTACTCCATGAACTGAACTGTTTGTTGCTACCGCACAGAGCTTGCATCCATAATGCAAGCTCTGTGCGGTCTAGCATTGTTGTCCTGTAGCAATAAATTATCACATATTGTCCCAGCATAAGGGCACACATAAGAGTCAAGGATGTCAACACTATAGGCCTGAGCATTCGTGGTTCCACGTGGGAAGACATAGAATTTTGTGCTTCCACCCAAAGAGATATAACCCCAAACACAGACACTGCCTCCTCTATATGCATCTCTTTCTTTCATGGATGTTTGATGGATGATAATGGGTTCCAGGTTCTCTCCCAATCAAATAATGCCTACTGTTGCTTCGGAGGCTAAATCTGGACTCATCTGTAAAGAGATCAGCTGTCTAGCACACATGTTGATGTACCCACCTGAAACATTCTCTTCTATGATGTAATGTGAGCGGTATAGAATTGGCTGGTTGCCTTGTGTACAGACCTCTTTCGTGAAGCCTTCTATGCACAGTTGATCTTGACACCAACTTTCCAGTGGCTGCATCAAGGGGGGATCTGAGTTGAGCCAGAGTGTTGGTTCTATTCCTTCACGTGCATAACAACAAATATTGGTCGTCAGTGCTCATCATAGCATTTGGCTTTCCTTGGTTGAACCTCCTGGATACCGAATCTGTTAGAAATTGTTATCAAAGTCTATGAACCACAGTAGGACTCACATTTAGCCATCACTTCTGTCTGATTTTGCCCTGCCTCTAATCTCTCAATAGCTTTCCATCGCAGTTCTTCGGGAAAATGATGCCTGAAGGTCATTGTTACAAATTGACTTCCCAGTTTTCTTATCTCAGTACCACAGTAAAATTTCCAGGCTTGCTCTGAAGCATGCAATTTTATGCCCCTCGCAGATGACGTATTTCGATTCCAGTGCCACTAATTGCATACTGTAGTTTTACTCAGCAATTCATATTTGACAGCATATTCAAATTTTATATGGATTGGCCTTTTTTGAATGAGTTATCACTATTTTTGTGATTTTTTCTGAACTTTTGGAATGTGTAGAAATACAGGGAAATCCCATCTACTTGAATATGAAAGATGCTGTGAGTAGTCAAAATAGTAGTCCTTGTTGATGTGTCTCTTTAAAATACTAATTGATTGGACTTTTTTAAATTTTTTTGGCTTATTGATAAACTTTATTGATTATTATAATATATCGTGCATTCTGTTCCATAAGATTAGAAGTAAAATATCTGATGTGTATACCACATGACTTCCTTGTATGGAATATTAAATTTTCCCACATTTCATTTAAACATATTGAATTAACAGTTAACAAATTTTCAATTAAATTTACTTCGTCAATAGTGCTTAGACCACAATAGAATAAATGCACTATATTATTTACCATAGTTCACTATATTTATTTACCATAGCGATACTTCGGCGCTACGTTCACTTAACAGCATTAACATTCATTTTATTATATCATCTGAAGAATTGCCATAAATTCTATTCAAATACTATAATAAATCTAAAACGATATATAAAAGAAATTAAACAAATAAAAAATAACTTTTTCTCAAAGTATTCAACGCCGCTTACCTAATGCCCATGTGCTACTAATTCAGTTCTCACTTTGTGGCAAGACAAAAATACATAAAATTCAAAATATTTTCATTAAAGTTTCACAGCTATAGAAAAACATAAAATACCAAATACAGTTAAAACAATTAAAAAATAAATTTTTACTATTAAAGTTACAGTTTCTATATAAAAATAAGCTAATAACTTAAATGTTAATTCCATAGGGAATTAAGCATAATTTAATTTTCAATAATGAAAGAAGACGTTACTTTGTTGTTGGGAAGCTTAGTTTTTCTAGATTGGCAACAAATCCACTATTCTGGTAAGTTTAAAATGTAAACAAACATGGACGGCATACTAATCAGAAATTAGGCTTAGCCGCACTTTAAAAACTTTTAAATTGTTGGTAATTCCACAATTATTGCATTAGGTTAACTAAAGGCATAAAAACCTTAACCAGAAGATAAGAACAGCATAATTCAATCATTTTTAAAGCAAAAAAGGCACGATTTACAAATATCTAAGAATAAAGTAACTGAGATCACTGAGCCGAGTAACAGAGTGAATATATATACATTCTGAGGTTACTCGTTTTTGAGTTATGCGAGATACATACGTATGTATGCACAGATGCCACGAAAAATTTTCTTCAGAATTCATTTTAAATCAGTTTTATAATTTTTTGGGGAAAAGAGTCCTTTATTCTGTCCTTACATACAGATGTCACGCAAAAACATTGTTAAATTACATTTGATAGCAGTGAAAATGGATATTTTCTTTGAAATATGATGGCTGAAACTTTTCGGGATTACAATACTTCCTTTTTATTTCGTACAAGGAAGTAAAAAGGCACCTCCTTGGGGACCATAATGTAAATTATAAGGAAATTCAACCAGTATATCAGATAAACATTTATTTTTTTATGCTTACCCACACAGTTACCATGGGCAACTGCATTGATTTCTGTACCAATTGAGCAAAAGTCATGAGTGACATAATTAAAGGGGCTACACAGCTTATTAAAAATACCACCAAAACTTATTAACCACTACATGATGCATAGGCAGGTACTTGCTTCAAAAATTCATCCCCCAGATATAAGGTTTCGATGAGGTGATTAAAGACATTAATTTCATAAAATATCAGCCACTAAGTAATCGGTTATTCAAAGTATCATATGAGGACATGAGAAGTGTACATACATCTCTTTTTTTACATACTAATGGTTATCTCAAGGAAAGATACTAACCCATAATTTCGAGCTAAAGGAGGAGGTACATCCTTTTTTCAGAATAAAATATCTAATTGAAAAGTCAATTATTTGATAGAAATCAGCTGCTTAAAATTGCCTATTTAAGCGGCATATATACAAGACCCGATGAACATCTCATAAAAAATTAAGGCGTTAGCTTCAGGGCAAGTAAGTAAATGTATTTACTGGCCATGCAAAAGTTCATGCTTTCAAGAAAAGGATAGAATTTTTGACAATTTGTGTGCACACCAATGACTTTGATTGCTCTCCAACAATAAAAAACTTTTCAGACAACAAAGGGGTTTGAAATAGGGGACATATATATATATTGAAGAAATTATTCAGCACCTGAGAGGTTTGAGTGAAGCTTTTAATCAGAATTTTCTGAATGAACAACAGATTAAATGTAAAAATGAATTGTATTATTGTCAATGCATATCTTGTCAATCATGTCAACAGAAGAATTTGAAACTTAAATGATAGTATGTTCATCATTGTAACAAAAATTTTAATTAATGTCATTAGTGGAATTCTAGTGCAGTTTAAAAGTTGAATGTTCCAATTTGTCAAAAAGGCCACTTTAATTATTTTCAGCTACCTAAAACAGAGTTCTCAGATTTATGAATCGGCAAAAAATAAATTGTGCAACAGACTTGATGCCAAACCTGGCATGAGCATTCAACTTTCATCTAGTATTAAGTATATATACAATAATAAAAGGCAATAGCACTCATTCCATTAAAATTGAATATGTTATTTTAAGAACTTTTGGATTAATTTTGAAATTACTTTATGAAGCAAATAAATATTATTTGATGTAATTGTCATTTTTGTTGCAAATAATCTGTTTACAGAATATTGCTCTAAAACCCTATTATTGAAGCAAACCAAGAGTTCCACGATAAAAGTGGACATTGAAAAGTGTTCCATTTATTAAAAAGATTAAGAAATGCTTTTCTATTGCATGTTGTCAGAAAAATAATAATAACAGTTTAAAATTGGCATCATTAACTGTTGCATCTCACTGGTTAAAATGCAAATATCTGATTATGATTTTGCTACATATTTTGTTTTTGTGTGTTAGAAATGTTACTCATAGTAAAATCCCCAATATAAAATTTTGTTCTTATAATAAAATCATGTATACAGTACAAAGTCTGTAATCCGGACTTGTCAGGACTTCTGCGATTCTGAATTAGGGGTTTTTCCAAATTATAGATCGGAATTATAGATCATCAGTTTAAATCTGGTAATATGGCATGCAGAAATTATAATATTAAAAATATGAAGCCGTAATTTATAAAATAAAGAGCAATTATGATCAAAAGGATATCAAATCTTACAAAAAAAAAAAGCTTAATATGTGTTTGTTTACTTTATTAAACATTTCTTTCAACGTGCGCATGCGTAGAGCATCCATTACGCATAGTCGAAATTAGAAAATTGCAACCAGAAAACTATTTGATGTGTATTCATGATATTTATAATGACGAGGAAATTGATTTAAATCATATCAAGGACAGAGTACATCGAGATGAAATACTACACTTAGTAAGGAATTATAAGCCGAATAAAATAAAAACGTCTGCCCTGAAGATGACGATACTGCTGACAGATTAACTTCCAGTTAATTGTTCGCCACAACGTCCCCCCCCCCCGAGTGAAATTGATACAAATCATTAAGCCAAGCTGTTCTGATTACGCAAGTAATATCGTGCTAAGTGGAAAAAAATGTGGTTCATTTAGACTATGTCTGGACTTAAACAACACTTAAAACATGGTGAATCCTTTTCCGAATATTTAATTGCCATGCGTAAAATAACCAGTCATGGTTCTGTTGATGATTCATCAATTCTTGGTTATGTAATTAATGGGATACCCGATCAGAGTAGTAACAAAATTATTTTGTATGGGTGTAACTATTTCTGAATTCAAAGAGAAATTAAAAATTCATGAGAAAATCCACGTTCCAGATAGGAAGAATAAGGGTTATTCAAATACTAACACACAAAATAAAGCACGCGCTGTATCTAATAAGAGTAAAGAACCAAGGTGTTCATGATAGTTATTTAGTTATCATTATTATTAGACCATACACATGCAGTTTTATATGTATGCTTGTACACAACATAATGATTTATAGCTCTTTGTAACCTATTATAGGCACAAGAAGAATTACCAAGAGTGGAAGTTATTGATATGTACAAAAATGAAGTATCATTTTTGACACATAAAGAAACAATGGATTTCTTTAGAAGCAAGAATGTGTTTCAATCTTTTGTTTGAGAATTATTTGAAATCTTCATTATGTATATATTATTAAAACTTATTTCATGTTTTTAGACTTTTATATTTCAATAATATTCATAGATTTAGATGATAACTTTCAATATCCAAATATTTAAATGATGTTTTGATATTGAACATTTATTATTACTGCAAAGTAGTTTAAATCAGATAATTTTTCCTGCATTTTTATTTATGAATTAAAACTTAAAACATTAAAAACTTCATTCCTCCATAAAATCATTTAGATCACACCTTCAAAAGTAAGCAATCAGCCCAAAAAGGGCTTATCAGATAAAATTCTTTTAAGACTTTCAAGTAGTTCATAATTTAATGTAAGTTATATTCAGTGTTGAGTTAAGTTACTGCTACTAGAGAGCAAAGATTTGCAAAATTACTTTATAAGGTATTTTCTGCTTCCTTTCTGCATGCCTTCATAGTGTAACTGGAAGCACACATGAAGCATATTTGGAAAGTCTGGAGTTCAAATCCCCGCATGGGCACTGTGCATTTTTCCCATCTCCAGCATCAAAAAGCCTAATGACTCTACAACTTAATAAAATAACTAAAAACTTTTTTTTGGGCACTACTTCTGATTTACAACTTATAATAAATTACCGTATTTGATGGCATATAAGATGCACTTTTTTTCCTAAATTTGGTCTCAAAAAAAGTTACTTGCTTCTTATACATGAAGGACACAGGTTAACTTTCAATACTGAATGCTATTTTTAGCCCGGATAAAAGTCTAGACACACATAACTTTTTCTACATCTACCATGATTATTTTGCGCATGTGTGAAATATCTGTCGCCAAAAAGCGGCAAAGCTCGAAGCTGATGTCGAAGTTCGAACAGGTTCGACGGTCACATTACGTCTATGGAGCCTTTCCTTCTTTACATAGACATTCTTTGACTCAGCCGACACACGTGTCGGTATCGGTGCTACTCTGTATAAACGTGTCGGTGTCGGTGCTTAAAACTATTTGTTTAAAAGAATACCCAGGAAAATATGACTACAGGAAACAAGAGATTAAACTATACAATTCAGTATAAACTGGGAGTGTTAAACTATGCCAAAGTGCATGGAAACAGAGCAGCAGCAAGGCATTTCGGTCCACCACCTGCCGGAAAAATGATACATACTTGGCGACTGCAGGAAGATCAACTGAAGACTGCTAAAAAACAAAAACATAACCTTCGATGCCCAGCTCCGTGTTGGCCTGAACTTGAAAATGGCGTAAAAATGTGGGTGATGGATAAGAGGAAATCTGGGATAAGTGTTTCAACCAAAATGATAATCAATGAGGCCAAAAGATTTGCAGAAAAACATGGGAATCAGAACTTTTCAGGGTCTGAGGGCTGGTGCTACAGGTTCATGAAAAGGCAAGGCTTATGAATGTGCACAAAACGACTATTGCGCAGAAAATGCCAGCAGATTATGAAGAAAAAATACTAGCATTTCATAGGTTTGCTATAAATGCACGCAAGAAAACTTCTTTTGAGCGAGAATGATGGAACAAGTGGATAGGAGAGCCATATCACGCCCTCACACCCTCAGGTAGAATGAAGCGGCCCTCTATTTTGCAATGCGAGTGGGTAAAAAGATATTGGGAGGATTTAAAGGCTGAAGTAATTGTTAAGTCCTTTAAGAAGTGCAGAATCAGTAATGCTCTTGACGGAACAGAAGAAGACACATTATTCGAAGAAGGCAATACTAGTGATGACGGAAACAGTAGTGATGATGATATTCTCGTTTTCAATGATGATGATAGTGAAAAGGATTTTTATGGTTTTGAAAGTGATTAAAGTCTAATTTCATGATAGACAACGTTTTCCTTGAATCTTTTTTTTTTTTTTGTTGTTGTTGTTGTTTTTCTGCTTTATTTTGTATTATGTTTGATTGCTTGCCGTTCATTAATTTATTTGTTATTGAAATTTACATATCATGTTCAAAATAGCTTACCGTTTGTTAATTTTCCTTAATAAAAATATATTTGGTAATTGCGTTTCAATGATTGTTTATTTGGCTTTTACGAAACGTGAGAACTAAAAGAAACCACATTTTAAGTTATTGTGGTACTGCGCTGTCGCATGGACTATTGAAACTTTTTTCCCTTGTGTGTGGCCTTTTAAATAAGGGTGCGTCTTATATGCCATCAAATACGGTATGTAAAAAAAAAAAACTGAAAAATACTTGTTTAAAGACAATTATAGCAGCTAGTTATTCATAATTCAATCACTAATAAATTAAATTTTAAAATTTACAGTCAGACAGCACATACAAGAAACACAAGGTGACAAACAATTATCTAAAGTTAAAACTAATCTGCTCTAATGATAAGTTGTAATGAAGACTCATTCTTTAAATTTCATGTTTGCATAACTAGAATTTGCACTAAGCTTCTGGATAGAATGGATTAGTATGACAGAAGACAAGAAGAATAGAAAAGCCTTATAACTAAATATTAACTGTTAGCAAATTAATGTTAGATGACAGTTAAATTTAACAAACTGTGATAAATAGTTTTGACCAAGTATGAAAAAAAAAAAAGTCCATCCCCCCCCCGAAAAAAACTGCATAACAGTTTTTATGCAAATCACAGTAAAAAGATCCAGATAAAAGTACCCTTTTCTATGGCGAAAAAGAAAACGTTTAATTGAAGTTTTATTTTAGAAAGTTTGTGAGTTTTATCAACAGTTGCATTAGCAAAAGTCTTGTATCCACAAAAGTTTTGGCAAGTAGTGGTTGAAATGTTTTGCAGGAGGAAGTTGTATATAGGCTTTATTGTACATTCTGTTGCAGTAATGATTTTTTACATATTTAATGGCTGCTAAAAGGAACCAAAAATTAATAACCCAACTAGATGTTAAAGGAGTACTATCTTCTGATTTTGATCCGTAGAAACTCAGTTGTGTAAAATTTAACATCAAAATCGTAATATTTTATCGGTACTCTTGATGGACAAATTAACAGTGAGGTAGTGTTATTGGAAATTTAAGCATGGAAGGGGTGATGTTTATTGATGCAAAACACACTAGCTGATCCTCTGTTAATACAAATGAATTGTTAAGTAGTGTTCAATCCTGCGAAGTCACCAGCACATCCCATTGATGAATTCTAAGAACAGTTTTTACATATGTGTGACTATCTATTATGTATGATATCAGAAACTGTCATCTTGATTACTGAAACATTTGGGCCTCCTTAAGAGTGGATATTGGCAGTTGTATATACACCTTGATCTCCGAGACAAGACAGCATTTAGTACCAGACAAGAATTTGGAAGTTCAAGATGCTGCCGTTTAGATAATGCAGTATGCTAGTAACATGGAGATGGTGCTGAGAGGTCTTTTGTATGAAGTCTGTCTGATATTTCTCGATGACATCATCGTCGGAAAACGTTTTGAAGAGCATTTACAAAATGTTAGGAAGATGCTTCAGAAACTGAAGGAAGCCAATCTAAAGTTATGTTCTGTCGAATGTAAATTGTTCAGACATAAAGTGATTTACCTTCGAGATGTCATCTTTGTTGAAGGGGAGTTTACAGATCCAGAGAAAGTGTAGGATGTTACTGATTGGAGACCTCTTGGTAATGTCCTTTAACTGAGAAGTTTCCTATGGCTTTGTAACTACTATAGGAGATAAGTGAAAGACTTTTCTTCCATCGCAAAACTCCTTCAGAAACAAATAGAGAGCAAGCAAAAGCCCTTGGACACTAAAGAACTTAAAGATGCGTCTTACAAACTTTTTAGGTTCAGGCAGTTTTAACACCCCACATCTTTTAATCTTTTTAGAAGGTTTTAAATCTGCTCCAATTCTGATGTATCTTCAACCTGACAAACCATTTATTCTTGACTCGGATGCGAGCAACCAGAGTGTCAGTGCTGTTTTGTCCCAAGGAGTGATAAAGAATTTCGTAAAGAGCAGTTGAAAGACAGCGATATTTTAACCTATAATTGAATTAATGGAGTCCTAAAACAGGAAGTCGACCTGGCAGGACATTTCGATCTATAGCCCTACGACAAAACAATACTGGGCTCGCTGGAACTCACTCCATATTCAAAATCGCGTCTTGTACCGGAAATTCGAATCCGATGATGGAAAGGCTTTCCGAAGGCAGCTGATACTTTGAAGGTCTCGGATACAAGACGTCCTTAAAGAACTACAAAGCAGCCCTACAGGGGGCTACTTCGGAATAGTAAAGACTTTGCATAGAGTTCGAGAGCGCTTCTACTACAGTAATGCAAGTGATGACCTGCAAAACTGCAACAAAACAAAAAAAAAATATATCATTCAATGCCAATGGTGCCAATTTTTTTATGCCTGTGCTGGTCGAAAAGACCGAAGAAACTCAACCAAGGGAAGCTGCAGCGTTACAATGTAGAAGCATCTTTTCAACTCATCGCCTTTGACATCCTGGAATTTCTGCGATGAATGGCTGAGGTAAAAAATACACCATGTTTGGCATTTACTACTTCATGAAGCGGCCTGAAGCGTATCCTATTCCTGATCAAGAGGCTGTCCCGGTAGCAGAAGTACATACAGCATTAGATTTCCAGATTTGGAGTGCCTCTTCAGTTGCATTCCGATCAAGGAAGAAATTTTGCATCAGCTGTAATTAAAGAACTCTGCAAAGTACTCGGCATATATCCCCAGTCAGACAGCATGGTAGAGAAGTTTAATCGGACCATCCTTAACAATCTATCACTGGTAATTTCCAGAAACCAACAGGGCTGAGATAAGGAGCTATGTCTGTTTTTACTGACCTATCGCACTGCTGTCCATGAGAACTACCGGCTATTTCCCATTCCAGGTACTCTTCGGTTGTGACCTTCATCTGCGTAGGGATTTCTTATTTGGTCACCCTCAGGATGCGTCTTCATCGCCTGAGGAGTACATCCAAGATCTCCAGGCAAGGTTTGAAGTGATGCACAGTTTTGCAGGAGAGTGAGTCAAATTGGCGACGGAGAAGAGGAAGACCTGATCCGACATGAGATCTACAGGACATCAATTTAACAATGGTGACAAGGTGTGGTTGTACAATCCAATTCAA